CTGTCTTTCTCAGAGACAAGGCGAAATTCACTCAATTGTCCAAAACCCTCTACGATAAGGGTTTCAAATATGACCAAGCCACTAATGTCGGCGAGGCCATCAAAATTATGCCGGCGTCTATAGAAGACTTCCGTAATATAACCCGCCTATTCACGGCCGAGCGTGTGTCCTACCACACATACGCCCTCGCCGAAGAAAGGAAAGTCAAGACAGTCCTCCGCGGAGTTCCCTATGAACTCGCAAACGAAGACATTCTGGAAGACCTCAAATCCCAAGGCTTCCCCATTGAAGGTGTGCATAAAATGCACAGCAGCAGGGGCGAAAGGTTTAACCTCGCCCTCCTCGTTCTCACCAATGTGCCGGAGGCGAAGGCCATTTTCCGCGAGGTACGCACTGTGTGCGGCCTGTCGCGTGTTAAGGTCGAAGCCCCTCACCGGCGCGGTTACCCAGCGCAGTGCCACCGCTGCCAACTCTATGGACACGCGGCTGCCAACTGCTCAGCTCCACCCAGGTGCATTAAGTGCCTAGAACCCCATCACTCGAAAGAGTGCCCACGGCCCAAAAACGCCGAATCCCCACCCTCATGTGTCCTCTGCGGACAAACAGGCCATCCGGCCAATTTTAGAGGTTGCCCTCGCGCCCCTCGCCCACCTCCGAGCCGCAAAGCTCCACCACAGGTCAATGACCGAACCTTCCCGGCTCTTGTAAGCCGCAAGCCCAGCCAGGGCCAGCCCCTACCTCAGCCCCCTCAGGGCTCATCTCAGCCCACACAGGGCATCTACCGGCCCCCCACAGGGCCCCTATCGGCCACCTCATGGCCCTCTTCGGCCCCTTATGAGCCTTCCGCTCTCTCAGCCAGCGCCGCTTCCAATAAACCCCTGGTTCCAAAAGGAATCAAATATCCCGCGGCCCTCCGCCGACCCAAAAAAACAGACAGACCCTGTAGTAGAGTCTCTCAACCTAGTGTATAACACTCTCAATAGGATCAACTTAGATGAAATCCTTATCCTTGCGGGTAAACCGAGCACAGCTCAGTCCCCTCAGGACCGTCTCCTTGCTCTTACTGAGCACATCAACCTTCTAAGGTCCTTGTAATTAAAACTATGCCGGAGCCCTCTGCTCCCGCAATATCTCACGGTCGTATCAAACCAAAGGGTTTGTCGCTTGTTTCATTCAATATCCGCGGTCTGCGAAATAACCTCCCAGAGCTTAGGCTTTTTCTACGAGATCGCGAAGCCGATCTCTTACTCCTACAGGAGACCCATCTCAGCCCCAAGGTCTCTAAAGGCCTTACTATTAAAAATTATTCACTTCTACGTAACGATAGACCCGACCGCAAAGGCGGCGGTACTGCCATCTATCACAAAAAGTCCCTTCATTGCTCCCACATATCTACTCCGTCGCTTACCAGTATGGAAGCCACTATCACTAGACTAGCTATGACTGGACACCAGTCAATCATTATAGCCTCTTGCTATATCCCTAGCGGAACCCTCCCCGTCAAGAGTGATTTCGAAGCCATCCTTGCATTAGGCAACTCAGTCATTATGTTTGGAGACTTTAACTCCAAGCATACTGAATGGGCCTGCCGCACTACTACCAGTAGTGGCAGGGTGCTGCTCAATATCACTCAGTCTCTCGACCTGACTGTCTACAGCCCCCCTCGCTGCCACCCACTATCCCGACATTGTTACCTACGCTCCCGATGTGCTAGATTTTGCTCTAGTTAAAGGAATTTCCCTTAACCTTAGAGCAATCGAGCCTCTCGACGATCTAGGATCCGACCACCGTCCTGTATCCCTCCTTCTTGGCCATCAGCCATCTCCAACTCCCACTTCCAAAACCTACACCAACTGGAAGGGCTTCAAGAAGTCTCTAGCCTCGGCTATAGACTCTCCGGACCCTCCCATAACCCTTTCTTCCGACGCCCTCGACAGTGCGGGGAAAATAGACACCGCGGTCGAAAATCTCACCTCACTTATAACATCCTCTCTTAAAGAGAATGAAAAAGTTGTCCCGGTTGCTAAAACTAGTCTTCCCCTAGATATTGGCAACCTGTTAAAAGCCAAAAAAAGCTGCCCTCCGTAGAGCTGCACGCTATCCCACTCCCGAATATAGACTCGCGGCCCACCGCCTTCAACGCAAACTGCGTTACCGCCTCCAAGACTACAGAGACCACGAAAAGGGCAATCTCGTGGAGAAAATCTCTCCCTCTCACACAGCGTACTACCGGATGGCGAGAGCCCTCCGGATAGACGCTATAACCCACACTCCCCCTCTGTCTCGTCCCGACTGCTCCATTGCCTTCGAAGACGAAGAAAAGGCTGAGAGACAGCGGTTGCCGCTCAATGCTCTCCTAGCTCACAACCCACTGACCCCTTACACATCCAACTAGTGAGGACGAGGTCCGACGCAGGAACTCGCCCCCTACCGCCTCTGACCCTATCACTGTGTCCAAAGATGAGATTTCATCTACCATCAAAGGACTTAGGCCCAAAAAAGCACCAGGTGCGGATGGTATCTCCAACCAAGCCCTCAAACACTTCCCGGAGCAGGTAATCGCCTTACTGGCTGGTTATCTTTAACGCCTGCTTCGAATTCAGTTACTTTCCCACCTCTTGGAAAGAGGCAACGGTCATTGGCATTCCCAAGCCAGGCAAACCTTTCCACCTCCCCTCCAATCACCGTCCCATCAGCCTCCTCAAGGCCATGGGCAAACTTTTCGAACGATTAATTTAGTGCGCTTGAGGCGCCATTTGTTTCCCACAGACGGCGACCCTCTTGTCATCCCACAACAATTCGGGTTTCGAGCCAAACACTCGTGCCCCCAACAAGTTCACCGCATAGTGGAATACATCCTCAGCGGTTTTTACCCTCGCCGTCAAAAAACCATCGCGGTCTTCTTTGACATTGCCAAGGCATTCGACAGAGTCTGGCACGAGGGCCTTATCTACAAACTGTACGACTTAGGCCTCCCAGACCGTCTCGTTCGCCTTGTAGCCTCCTATCTGAAGGATCGTACCTTTCGTTTTAGACACGAAGGCACGCTATCCTCTACCCGTCAAATAAAAGCCGGTGTCCCTCAAGGCTCTGTGCTTGCTCCCCTCCTATACATACTATTCACCAACGACATCCCTATCCCGTCGAATGGTGTCAAACTAGCCCTCTTTGCAGATGACACAGCCCTTTACTCCAAAGGCAACTCACTACCACAGATTCGGAACAAGATTCAAAAGTCAGTAAGCGACTTAGGAGCTTGGTTCCAAAAATGGCGTATCGACGTAAACCCGGAGAAAAGCTCCGCCGTTTGCTTCGAATATAAACGACGTCGTCTCACCACCACTCCGCCAATCAGGATGTTAGGAACCCCTGTCCCATGGCAAACTAAAGCCAAATACCTAGGCGTCACCCTTGATGCAAGGCTCACTTTCGAGCCCCATATCAAGAAGGTTACTCGCACCGCACGTTTTTACATGGGTAGGCTCAACAGCATGTTGGGCAGACACAGTAAAATGTCTCTCCGCAACAAGCGAACCCTATATAAGGTCTGCATACGACCTGTCATGACCTACGCGGCCCCCATTTTTGCACATGCTAAACCCAAAGCTATAAATGAACTTCAAATAGTTCAAAATCTATTCTGTCGTAGGGCCACTAACTCGCCCTATTATGTCCGTAATGCCGACCTACATCGAAACTTAGAGCTCCCAACAATCCAGCAATTCCTTAAATCACTCTCTGAGAGATTTTTCAAAGCCTCAGAGTCCCACCCAAATCATCTCATTCGTGAGACAGCTGCCTATGCAGCCCCTGTCCACACTCGCTATAGTGTGCGCAGACCGAGAAACTCTCTCTCGGACCCCACCCAACAAGCTTTCGGCTGACCTGAACTGCCTCCTGGCGGCTCAGGCCGAGCCTACATAACACATCCATTAATCTGCCTTAGTTAGGCACTCTTCTAAGCGGCTTTTCGCCGCTTGCGCCCTCCTTTCTGCCAAGGAGGGTCGCGTTCGTATACGGCTTAGAGATCTCTAGTCAGATCGTTAAGCCATTTTCTAAAGGGCGGTGTTTAGTGGGTAAAAGTCTCCACATAACCACGCAGCCGGCTGCGTGGTATGCTATGAACATTCACCGCCTCCCTCCCCCGCTTTCCGAAGGGTTGCCCATATTTGCTTCGGGCACAAAAAAAAAAACAAAAAAAAGTTCGCCTCTCACTTAGCGGTCATCCGCTGTAGAGTCTACATCACCCGAGGATGCCTCGTGTAGAGGCGAAACACGTGTCGTATTATCGTCGATGGTGTGTCTTTCCTGGAATATTGGTGTTGGGAGTGATTGTGGCGGGAGGTGCTCTTCAATCCACGTAAGACACATCATTGTATGTAGTTAGCGGAAGGTTGCAACTAATAACTTTATTAATTATTTAATTAAATAATTACAGATTTATTTTTTTACATATTCGGTTAGTAATTGTCCAGGAAAGCCTCGTTTGTTAAAAAATATTTGCTGTAATATATTGTCTGAACACTACTACGATATTTTAACATTTACTTTATGAATGGCCACCACTTCTTTTAAACACTGTTGTAAAAATATAGTTCAGGTATATTGAACTCTTATTGCCCAGTCTTCGTTATAGGCTTTCAACAAAAACTTTAAATTAAATGTTACTAGAATTTTCGGGATATTGTCTTTTACAACTTGGTTTAAAAAAGGTAAAAAGATATCCCCCCCCCCCTTCTGCCGTTTACACCGAATCCTGGGAATCCATTCTTCTAGCACGAGGGACTTGGGCCTTTGCTGGCCGGGGGGTATCATCCCCGGCCTCAGTATTTAATAGAGTAATTATTTACAAAACTACTTAGTAAACTGTATTTACAAGATGTAAACTGAAAAATAAGATAAAAATCGCTCCCTCTAAGTTCAAATTACCGACCGGTCTCCCAAGCTTCCAAAAAAAGAATCCGGAGTCCGGACAGCACATAGCATAATATACTTTGTTATTAAGATTTTTGGCTTGGATGCTTCTGATTTAAGAAGAATGAGTAAAAACGAGTAAAATAATTTATTACAAAATGTGATTCCTTGAATAAAAAAATTACAAGTGGACAAAGTCATATGGGATCTTTGTTTTTATAGATTTTCCTTCACAATATGCTGATACGTCACATTGCGAAGTATTTGAAAAATTTTAACAACTCACCCAGCGGACGGCGTGGAAGGCACCCCAGTGAACAAAATAATTTGACATTTGTATTAGAGCTATGTCACAAAAACTAAAAATGCTTAAACTATTTGTGAAAGAAATGTGTAAAATGTGGGCAAATAAATGTTGTTTACTACTTATAAAGGTGACATCGAAGAACTTATTTCGTCGTTCCCCTTATTCCTAATAGTTCACATGCACAGACATTTAATACACAAAATCTCATCTCCTTTACGTATCAAAATCCACTAAAACCAATATTTATACGATATAGCAGGCGCTACAATCCGTGGATGGTCAAAATTCCAGCATGTACGTAACATTATAGATTTACAATAAACCGTAGACCGTCGATTTGAAAAAGCCGAGAAAGGTGTGTTAGTATCGTGCCATATTGAAGTCCGTAGTCTCTGCCTATCCCAATGCGTTACAAGCGTGAAACCTTATGTATGTATATATGTATGTATGTACTCACGTCTTGTGTGATAAATAATGAAATGCGTTCATCTCTAGCATGCAAAGCGTTTCTATAAGCTTTATTTATTTCATTTAAAAGTTTGGAAAAAGTTACTGAATATTCAATCAACCTTGTAAATGCCTCTTGGTAAATCTAAAAAAAAAACTAAAATTATCAAAACTTGTTACGTAATCAAATAAATGTAAAATTATAGAACAAATACACAAACCTTTAAAACTTCATCATAGTAATGTTGCTTTGATTCTAAAAGTTCACTGGGTTCTTTTACTAAATTTATTTTTGTTGCAATTGTTTTTTCGATTTCCTTCAGATACTTTACAGCGTAATTTGTATTCATTGTATCTCATTTCCATTAATCTGTTAATTCCATATTTTATCGCAGTTGTTGTATAGTTTCTGTAGTGATTATCTATAATGGTTTAGTAGGTATTTTGTTGTTGAAAATTAATATTTTCTTTATTTTTATCTTATTAAAAACTACTAAATTATAATTTATTTTTACCAATTTTTAGCAAATTACTTTTACCAATTTCTACTCCACTTTAGGGGTTTTAATTTTTAAGTTTAAACTGTTTTTATCAATGGTATTCTCTATGATACTGTAAGTAATGAAGTAATGGGTGCGTTTGGCAGAAAAAAGCGCCAGCAAGCGCTTGTAAGCAAAATGGCGAAACTAAACAGTTTTCGGCCAGGACACGTTTGCTAACTTCAGTAGCGCTGACACAATCCGCCATTTTGCTTATTTAATTTTTTTTTAAGTAGAGTTTATAAGTTGTTTTGTGCAATATTAGTTTTAAATAATATAATGACATGAATAAATGTAATTAATGTAAAGAAAGAAATATTGTAAAAAATAAATGTTATTAAAAATTCATGATTGGTAAGTTTTTAATATGAATACTTTACAAACATATATTTAAATTAGGTTAGGTTCCCCGGTTAAAACTAATAAAAATAGCTACTTACGATTTGACAGCGCTTACCGCTTACGATTGCCGTTTTGCTTACAAGCGCTTGCTAGCGCTTTTTTCTGCCAAACGCACCCAATGCCATCTGTACACATTTTAAGAAAACCAATGGATGTGACGTCAATGACAGAGATGATTAATGAATTACAGAAATTAGAAATGGCTGCGATAAGTTGTGGACGGGGAACGATGGATTCCCAAAATCAAGTGCAAAGTGATACAGTAGATCGTTTAAAGTTGCTTTATCCAAATGTGAATGAAGATGAGACACCCTTGCCTAGATCTTGGAGCACAAAAGACAAATTCAGCTACATCGGGCTATCGCAAAATAATCTCAGAGTGCACTATAAAGGTAGGAACTTTCAAGGTTTGTTTATGGGAGTTATTTGCAAAACGCTACCATCCTCTGTTTTAAAATAATGATTGTGTCGCAAAAGATAATTCTAAATATTGTTTAAAATAAAATGTTTAACGTGTCAACATTTTGTCGCTAAGTTAGCCAAAAATCTGTGGCATTCGTCAAACAAAGAAATCAGCTGATCGTATATTTTGTAACAACACGAAAATGAATGACAAGGCGTTATTACTAAATACGTTATTTAAATAGATATTGCAGTAAATATACGCATATAGTATTTAGTTAATATTAATATATATAATAACAATCGAGCGATATTGTGCAAGGTCTCTCCTCTATTGAAATGGCAGACAAAAATTACTGATTATTAACTTAGAAATTTAGATATGATTGTATTCATGTTAATGATAATTGCGTATTTAACTATAGGTCACTGAAGTGAAAACTATATATACAAAATTTGAGTTTTACTTTATCTTTAAACACAATGAAACTTGATAAATGACTAGTTTTTATTACTAATGACCTAAAATGTCTTTGTGTCTTTAGTATGATATGTAATTACTCATTTTCTTCTAGAACTAATACTTATTATTGAATATCAGTGTTAATAAGTTTAATCATCTGTTTTTAAACAATATGCATTCTTTAGTGAATTAAATATATATCATATTGATTTTGTAATTGGCAGCTTTGCAGTTACTAATGGTGTAAGATCATTTATTTTACCACATGCTCGTCTGTGAAGGAATACAATGTGAGGAAACCCGCATATCTATAAAATAAGAAAAACAAATATTTCCAAAACATGTGAAGTTCTCCAACATGTATTGGGGCAGCAAGGCAGGCACTCCCTTGCCCTAAAATCCTCTCAGAATAAGGGTGGTCTGTGCCCAGCTGTGGGACATACCTAGGCTCTAACTTTAATTTAGTAAGATAACCATTAATTAGTATGTTTCTTTTATCATCCTATGGTAGGTAATTGCTTTATCTAAGCCGCATCTATAAATAATATGATGATGACTTATTTATTCCTCATAGTTTTTTTTCATCAAGAACCATTTACCATAGTAAGGAAGAATGACCTGTACTTTTATTAAGCTCTTAGACTATGGACCATAAAGTTAATTGAAATATTAATACCACCATATAAAGGAAAATAATATTTGCTGAATAAACCTTTTCTGTTATCAAATCAGAAACTGCATTTTTAAAAATGTAACATAAATTATTTATTTTAATTCAATAATTAAATAAACTAAATATAATTAATTAGTATGAAGTAAATAGTGATTATACATGCACTAAATTATTAATTATATTGCTTTAATTAAATAATTTTTTTATAGGATAGGGTAACAAATACAGCAAAATACAAACATAACAAATGAGCACACAGTCCACCTGATGGTAAGTGGTTGCTGTGGCCCATAGACATCTACATCTATCCTCGATTAAATTGAATCAAAATGCAGATGCGTTGTCACCCGTGAGGACTAAGATGGAATGCCTTGTTTCCAGTAAAAAGGGTCTCCGATTCTCTACACTCACCATACAAAACACAGCAGCATTAAGCTACTATTTTATGCTGGTATTCTGTGAGTGTGGTCCCTCCCCGGTCGAGCTGACCCATTCATGCTACAACTATACTACTAATATATCTGCAGCATGTAGAAAATATGTTGCTTTTAGTGCATGTGTAATCACAATCACACTTGGGAGGGAGTGCATGTTTTAAAATGGCGACGGCTCCTTGGCGCAGTGGCATGTAACAAGTATTTTTATGACCCATATATAACTGTTCCAAGTCTGGATGTTTGTCCTTATGTAATTTATGTTTTAAACTGCCTCTACAATACAGGGAAAAATCCTAGTGTGAGGGGTTAAGTTGATAAAACCAAAGAAAAGGTGAACTTTCTGTGCTTTTCGCTAACCAAGGGAACATTATGTTATAGCACAAACACTTGTAATTCTATTAAACTTCAAATCCACACAATTGTCTTTTTATATACATCTTTGTTTCAAAACCCTTAAAAATATAAACTATGTAGTTCAAATAAAATCAATAAATTAGTTTCATTGAAAGTAGTTGTTAGTGCTGTCAGAACTGGTGATAGTAATAGGTAGTCCCTTTATCTATCTTTATTTTAGGCAATTCTAGACCTGTTTGTGCAGTATACTGTGGTTCAGTGTGATGAGCTTGTAGAGCCAGTACAATTACAGGCTATAAGCCATTACACCTTAAGCCTTGTTTGCTATTATTTTAATAATAATAGTACTTGAAGTGGTGGCATTGGTCTCACGACTTATATTACTGGTAACAGTAGTTGTCATTGTAGAATCTGAGGCGACACTGCTGTCAAGAACTACGTGTTTAATTCTTTTGATTTGTGATGCGTTATTAGGACAATCGCCTCCTGCATCTGTAGATGTGCGTTTTATTAGCCACTTATCCATTGTTAACTGCAATAATAAATACGTATTAATAAATAAAAAATGTATTCCAAATGACTAATATTAGATTTTTCGTCATATGCTCGCGTGGTAACAGGATTTACTTCAAATTTATTTTCAACGAAGCACAAATAGATAATTAATATATTGAGAACCATATAGGAAAACTTGGGTTTTGTCTGTGCAATACAGGATCAGGTTATTAAGATCAACAACTATCGGAGATACATCCTAAAAGATTGCACTGTCGACATCTGTCGAGCTTGTCGCCATTGCAGTAAGTCACTTAGGCGTGTTATCTCCAGTTGATCGGCACTTTCTAACTCGAGTACTTGCACAGGCACAACCTAGTAGCCAGAAGCTCGCTCAGCTCGCTCTGAAATACCGGACCTGAATAATATGGACCGAAAATAGACCGGTCTCCCCTGCTGAGGGCTTCCATCTGGTTGGGCTTTTATTTATTAATGTATTTTTATGTATTTATTTTATTTTATTGATATTTATGTATATTTACCATTCCAATTCACAATTATATATTTATGGAACCCCACCAGATGCGAAAACCATATAGATACCCCCATAACAATACAGTGAGCCCTGTCAAGAGGTGTGAGCGCCGTACCTAGGCAAAATTGATGGTTTGTGCATATGGCTGAAACACGAAACGGTGCCGGGCCTGGGCGTTTCCCGTTAATTGGCGCCCATAAAATAGATGATGGCACGAAAAGGAACACGCATAGAGCTGCTGCCTGGAAGTAGCCAGTGCGCGGCTGGAGCTGGTGCTGGACGCGACAGCATGCGGGCCGCCAACCGAGCGCGAGGGGCTGCACGACCACCTCGTATCCATCATCCCCACCAGATGGATTGGTGTCGGCAGGGTTCTCCCGGACTCAGCAAATAGCACCCTCCTCTGGTGGAGTACTCCGCATACGAAGAAAATGAACTCAAACGCATTGCGGGCGTATTTTAGGACGAAAGGGGGAGGGCTGGAGGTTTTGCGTACCGGGCTAGGATGCATCGCTTATTTACTGAGCTGGAGCTATCTGTTACCGTCACCAAGCAAAACTTGGCAGACCGAGTTCGGTACATCATGCGCTCAAAAATATTTGATGACGCCGAACTCGAACGGCTACCACATGAGGCTGTTCGCTCGTCGAATGAAAATACCACGACAAGAGATGCGGCTCTACGAGTTGCAGAGCAACCCGCATATGTAGATGGCCGTCGTAGATATCCTTGTGGTTGACTCAAACGACGTAAAAGTAAAAGGACGTCGTTATACTGACTTCCCAGTTCTTTCAGAAAGCTTTTAAATCTTCTGTGGTTCAATTCTCTTGCTCGTATATAATTGGCAATATTAACAACTGTCTTCATTACAGCTTTTTTTCTGGATTTACAACACTCACCGCCAAGTTTTCTTGGTGAATAATACAATGAAATGTTATTAAATTAGTTAAATTATATTTTCCTTTAATCTAGTCAAAGAAGGACAACTATCACATTCTGCTCTAAAAAATTGCAAATAGTATTAAGGTAATCTGTGCCTCGGGTTTGACCTTTCATTGGCAGGAATTTAAAAAAAATCCTGTATTAAATTGTTTTCTGTACATTGACTAACAAACGCCGAGCATTGCGATGTTGCTCGAATGTCGCTGCTGGAATAGAATGACAAGCTAAAATATTTGTACTTTCTTAGGTTAACTAATATCTCATTGTAAATAGGTTTAGAAATGTCTTTGTTACGCCTTATACACGTTAAATCCGAGAGCTGTAGTTTTTTTTTATATCAGATAGTAATTGCTTTTTGTTACTCAATTTATCAAAAAGTATATTGGCAGCACTAACAAAGCATTCCTTTACAATTTCTGCATCGGTAAATGGTTTCATATGCTTACCAAGAATGTAACGAATTTCATATGATGCCTTAGTTACTGCGGAGTCTTGTGATAATGCCACAGACATAACATTTTGTTATTGCTGTAATGATCTCTGGTTGTGCCACAGATTCCCGGGTTCGATTCCGGGACTAATGACCCCAAAATTATTGGGTGCGCTAATGATAAAAGGTATTGCGGATTGAACCAAATTGTGGACTGTATCAGCGTGGGTCGTTATGAACCAAAACAAAATAGCGGATGTGGTACGTGGCGGGTTTTGGACTATATACTTGCTATAATCTAATTTAATGCGTTAGCCGGCACGACAGGAGCATGAATTGCTGTGGGAAAAGGAACAATAAAATAAAAACGGCTCAAGATTTAAAGGAACAGGCACCGGGCAAATGCACTGGGGTTGACTGATGAACGCCACGACGAATTATATTGCACTAGTGCAGGACGAAATTGCACTGTGCCGACGTTACACACACGCGGGCCTGGGCTACTGACGCATCAACGTCTCGGGATGTAAACACCAGCGCTCTTAAAAAGAAGTATAATTCCGCCTCCAGGTCCTTCAAAAGAGTCATTGCCAAGGCAAGATCTGCGCACATCGGCAGAATTCATGAGTAGCTAGATCGCTTCCTTCGGGAACCCGTGCAT